CGCCTTCCCGCCTCCCCCTGCTGCGGCCTGCCTGCCTCCCTCGGCTCCGAGTCTTCGGCTCTGCTTCTCCTCGGCACCCTTCTTCCTTCCCTCTCTCCTCCTCTTTTCTCTCTGGCTCTCTCCAGCCCTCCTACCCGCTCTTTGGCCGTCCCCTCGTCGGTCTCCACCCCTGCTCGCGCCTCTCGGCTTCCTGCCGTCGCGCCCTTCACCCTGCCCCCCCCCCCTTGCTTCCATTCCTTCATCCTCCGGCCAGGGCCGAAGGCCCGCACCCCCTAGCTCATGGCAGGCCTTCCGCCCCGGCTGCCCCCGCTGCTTGGCCAAGTTTGCCACATCTGGAGCCACCACAGCTCTCCCTGCCTTGCGGGCCTGGCTGGTTTGCCAAGAAAGAAACTGGCTACAACAGCGTCCTTCCAGCCTGTGTCTGAACCCCCTTGATTAACCCTCTCTCCAGTCATAGGAGATGGGAGACATAAGTTTCTCCCCTGGAGGCCTCCTAGCATGCCTGGTTGCCACAAGTGAGCAGGAGGCCTAAATTGGCAGCTGCTCTCCATGGAACATCCCAAATTCGCCCTGTCCAAAGCTGGGCTCAGACTGTCTAGCCATGACATTCTCTTGGTCAGAGCAAGGAACCATCACTTACTGGAGGCCTGGCTGCCTCACCTACAGCTCTCAAAGCATAGCAATGCCAAACACTTTTGACCATTCCTTCCTGGCCATCTTGTGTCTTGCTTAGATTAAAAACATGCCACCTAACATGGCCAGGACACAAGCCCAGGTCTAAGAGACAGAACGTCCTGTGTGCCTAACTATTCATCCAGATAGCAAAGAGCCCAACGATGCAAAGGTTTATTAGTATTACAGGGCCATGCTCTGTGTGTATTCTCATGTCAGCCTCCAACAACACAAGAGACAAGAACAGCCATTTTCTTCATTTTCCTGATGTCCAGAGGGGTTCAGACCTGGAAACCAGTGATGGCTTTTTCTCACACCCTCCACCCCCAGAAGCCAACCTTCATTCTTCAGCAGGGTTCTGAAATAGACCTGGCTGTTCCTCACTGAGCACAGTACAGAGCTGTGTCTTGTCAATGTGGCATATTGCATAATCTGTCCCCAACCAAGTTCCAATTTCTTGTTTTTTCCACTTCCTTCCCCCACCCATGCCCAAACTCCGTCACTTCTTGCAAGTCTCCCACGTGAACTCAGAATGCCCTCCATCTTCCAAACCCTCCTGGCAGACAATGTCTGGTTTAATTACCGCTGGCTTTGGGTACAGCTTTCCACGTTGATAATTATTTGCTTGTCTGGGCCTCCATTTGAACCATTCCTCTGCAGTAAGTAGTTCTTGAGTCTGCTATGTCATAAACCATGGTCTAGCTGGGTTCATTCATCTTTTCCGGGACCTGGCATATAGGAGACCCTTACTCAGTACATATAAACAGAGTTCATTGCCCAGTGGCTACAGGAACAGCACTAGACCTAAGCAAGCCACATTTGTCTATGAGATGATGCCTGCATCAGACTTCCAGCTGATTCTATATTGTAGAGCTCCCCCTTCATATCCTGGTCCTTAACTCAGTGTCCCCTGGCCTGGCACAGCAGGTCCCTTTTCCAGCAGCCTGGCTCTACTTTGGAGAAAAAGGCTTTGACCTGCCACTGCCTCCCCAGCCTGTATACACTACTCAGGAAAGCTCCGAATGCATATGAAAATGCTTAAATTGTGATGTGTGACAGCCACACCTACATAAGACATCACAGCCCTGGAATCAGCCTGCCATTGCTTCACTAGTGCGTAGATGGGCATAGAGGAGGGGCTGCCTAACCCTCTGCATATCCGATTACTTCATCAGTAAAACTGTTTCATGAAGCAGGCCGACAATGAGTGCTTATTGAACACCATTTTAGAGGCCAGGAACACATGATATATGTGGTTCTGGGAACAGAATGTTTACTGTGTTAGAGCCCCTGGCAAGAAGTTGTATTTACAGTTCCAGTTGAAGGCTACCAACACTGTGAGATACTTGTTCTTAGCTCTGACCACTGATGGAGACAGCAGGCTCAGAATTTGAAGCAGCTGACCTTGTTCCAGTAGCTGCTGGGGACTCAGGAGGCCTCGGGTGATGCTGACTCCACCTCTACAACCCAAATATTTTTACATATTATCTATGTTATTTTTTCTACTCTTGCCCAAAGAAGCAGAGTCTGTGTCACACTGGACTCCAAACCTGCACGCTCTGATACTAACTCGGCCACACCCACAGGGATGTACAGCGTCCTTGACTAGGGTTGAGACTCTGTACTGCTTTGAGCAGCTGAATCTGGCTGCTGGACTGAAGAGAGCATTTCTGTGAGCAGGGAGCCTCCTACAATAGGAGGAAAGGAAGAGAATTCGTCCATCTTCTTAAAAAGGCATCTGTGGGTTAGGGTGCCACCTGGCGGGCATACACTTTCAGCTTCGGGAGTCTCAGCTGGGCTCCTTACATGGAAGAGTCCTTCAATAGCTTTGGGACGATATTTTTAGCCTCTGGAATCTTGAAAATACTCCAAGAGGCAGTGGATCAGACTCTCTGGAAAAGTGCAACAATATATAAGAAGGCTTTGATTGTTGCCAATTCAATGAATCTAATCTAAGCACCTGCTAGATGCAAACATGTGGTTGTGAAAGCGAGTATGAAGAGGACTCAGCCCTGTTCTCGAGTGTTGGCACTCTGTGGTTGCTTAGGGACAGCTGTGAACACAAAAGACAAAGGGTTATAAGTAAACTACAGAAGAGATGCAGAGAGTATTGTGAGGGAAGTCAGGGAATTTTTCAGTCACAGATGCCATGGAGGGTGAGTAGTGTTCACACGAGAAGGAAGGAAAGCCACCCCTTGGGAGTGGCAATCCCCAGGGACCCTGAACTTTCTGGATGCCCCACCATCATCACCACCACTGGGTATAGCTAGAACAAAAGACCATGACTGCTCTTTCCCCCATGATCCCTCATGGTTGTGTGTGCAGCCTGCGACTCTTGAGTTCATTAATGTAGCTGCTCAAAGGATCCCCAGGCTTTCTTTAGCCCAGGCTCTGAATAAAGGCAGAGGCTAAGGACAACTTTGTGGGCCTGGGCAAGTGATGAAGGAATTTGAATGGCAGTCTCAGCCAAGGCCCTGCTCACCCCATAGGATGTTAGCTAGTCAGACTGGGAACTAACTACAAGGTCCCTAGAGATCCACTCTTGCCCCTTAGACTATGCCATCAAAAAGAGTCCCACAGTGTTCATGGACCTCCCCCCTGGACTTCTAATGGGGACATGCAGGCCCCCAGATGACCTCGGCTGGGAATTACCTGGCCAAGGGGCTTGGGGAGGAGTGGGAGTAGCCCCAGAGGAAGATGTAACAGCCACAGGGCACCAGGCAGTGCCAACTGCTTTCTATCTTTACCTGGTTCACCTCCCACAACAGTTCTTTCTAGAAGAGAGGTGCTTTAAACACCACCTTCAGCGCTGTGTGGAGAAGGCATTGTGGAAATTCTGTCAACCTGGGAATTGCTAACTTGGTGAAAAATAATATTTGAATAAATAAGTAAATAAATAAATAAACCACCCTCAGTTCAAAATGAGGAAACTGAGGCATAGGAGTGCTTCACAAATTACAACTCAAGAGAAAAAACCTAACTCACACATTTGGTCTCCAGATGTAGGTTTTCATCACTGTGTATCTGGGACTTCAGCTTTCCTGTGGGAGAAGATAAAACTTTTTCCCTGTGTGGTGGGAAAGGTCCAAATGCCTGGGGATGGTTCAACGAGAGGAGGGGTAGGTATACAGACTCACCTTCAGATCCACACTTAGGGAGCCTGACTCTGCCTGCTGTGTGTTTCTCCCACTATGGGACCTCAGGATGGCCGTCCCTTGATCCCAGCTTAACCCTTTAATGCAGGAAGATGAACCTGGAAGGCAAGCTTGTAGTTCGACAGTGCTTTGCCCTGGATGTTACCTGCATCCCCTAGAACATGTGAGACAGACAATTTCAGAGAAGTTGAGCTAGTAAGTAGCAGAGCTAGAAACTCAATTTCCATCTACAGACACCAGGAAACACTACAGCTGTCATCAGTCTCCGAATCCACTTTAACCATGAACTCCCCAATAAGGCCAGCCCTACAGGGAACGCCTCACTAGACACGCACACTCTGACCATTCAGCAAAAAACCCAGTGTGGCCTCCTTTCTATTACCACTTGAGTTTCCAGTCTTGGGTCACCACTGGAGTCTCTTGAAGATGTGGTAAAGTATGGAAAAACACTACCCTAGCCTCCACTCTGTCCCCAAGAAACCTCCCTCGACTCAAGTGGAATAAAACACTGCTGCCGTGCTCCAAAGACTTCAAAGCCATACAAGCCACCAGAGAGACATAGCCTGACCCAAGTAGCTGACTGACTGGCATGGATCAAGTACAGCTACAGATTTTGGGGTGTCGAGGTTTTTGGGTGTTGGGTCCTCCACCCTTACCTGCCTTAGTCTCTGCTGGTGTAGTGACTGATTGCGGGAAGCCCTCCAGGATTCAACGCTGACCTCTCTTGCCCTGTGACCCGTGATGGTGCCCCCAGAACCACTTTCCTGGGATTTCGGTTAGTGATTGCTCCTATTAGAGTTCATGCTGAGGTAGCCAAGGAACACATGACACAAGTAAGAAGGGGCAGAAATTCCAGGAAGTCAGAGGAAGCTGGAGTAGAGAGAGGAAGCTTGCTCTGGTCCGGGTTCTCCAGAGAAACAATCAAGACAATGGGGAGAAAGGAGACAGAGGGGAGGACAGTAGAGAGAAGAGAGAGAGGGAAAGAGGGAGAGGAAAAGGGAGGAGGAGAGAAAGAAAAGAAGGGGAGAGAGAGGGGAGAGGGGAGGGAGAGAGTTCACAAGGAATCAACTCACAGAATTCCAGAGGCTGACAAGCCCCAAATCTGCAGTTGGCTGGCTGGAGGCCAGTTGGAAGGGGATCAGCATCCCATCACTCCTAGGAGGAGCAGGCTTTTTGTGCTGGTCAGACTTGCTACTGATTGGGCGGTTCCACCCACACTGGGGTGGCGGGGAGGCGGGGGATGCATCTGCTTCACGCAGTCTACCAATTCACATACTCACCTCATGGACATCTCCACACACATATCCAGGGTCTTAGCCCATTTGCTGTTACTATAACAGAACACTTAGAAGTGGGTAGTTTATAAAGAAAAGTTTATCTTGGCTCATGGATCTGAAAGCTAGGAAGCCCATGTTTGAACAGCCACATCTGGCGAGGCTACAGTGGCTTCAACCCATAGTGGAAAAACAGAAAGGTAAATGGATGCGTGCAAAGGGGCAGTCTTACTTTATAATCTTATCTGTAACTCTCATAGTGACTAGTTCAGTCCTGGGAGAAACCTTGATTGGCAATAAGTCCATTTCATAACCTAGTCACATGGTAGGATCTTACCTCTCAACACAGCCACCACGGTCATGAGTGGAAATTCCAACAATATTGCCAAAGGAAATGATGTTATTCAAACCATAACATCCAAAATAATGTTTAGCCAAATATCCGGGCACCCTATGGCCTGGTCAAGCTGACACATACAATTAGCCTTCACAAACTGATACGCAGAAACAAAAGATGTTGAAAGGCTCACAACAGTGTCCTGTGGCTTGCTCCAGATCACAGCTGGACCTCATTACTGTGAACACACGTGGCTCACAGGAGCCTCCCTCCCCATTTCTTTGCCTGAACTAACTTACATGTGCCTTTTGTGACCTGTGCTCAAACAAGCAGGTCTGGGGCCAGTGTCACTGAGGCTGAAGCATGGTCTAACTTTGTGGGAGGTTTTTCGTCTTAGTATTTGTTGTTTGAGACAGGATCTCACTATGTAGTCCAGGCTGGCTTCAAACCTGAAAGTCTCCTGTCTTAGCCTCTCGAGTGCTGAGATCACAGATGTGTGCCACTGCACCTGGCTCTCTGTTTGTTCATTTGTTTGTTTGTTTAATTTGATGCCCTGTATTTGATTTTCCTCCCTTGAGATGCAGGGGTCTATGTTCCCTTCCTATGAATCTGATCAAGCTTGTGATCTGATTATAACGAATGGGATGGCCACAGCAACACTTCTCGATATTTTTAAAAGGCAACATAGCTTCCTCCTTGTTTTCTAAGAACTCACCCTGAGCCACCATAGACATCTGGCTGTTTGGAGGCCACCATAGGCCAGGTCACAACAAGACCCAGTAAGAAACTGCAGCTCCAGGTTTCCCAGCTTAGGCTCACAGAGTACTATCGCTTGAGATGGAATTGTAGCACTAGCTTCCAACAACTTATGTGTAATGGAAATAAGGAGACAGAAAGGAAATTTAGCTGGATGTGGTAGCCCACACATTTAATTACAGCACTCAGGAGGCAGAACCAGGTGGGTCTCTGTGAGTTTGAAGTTAAGTTTGTCTACATAGCAAGTTCCAAGCTACCCAAGACTGCACAGCCCTGGAAAGGAAGGAAGGGAGAGAGGAAGGGAGGGAGGGAGTCTCTGTACTGTGGCCAGCATGAGAGACATGAGACTAGGAATCCACATTTGGCTATGTTTTGTGTATTTAAAACCTTTTTAAAAAGCTTTCTCAGGTCTGTATGTGGATATATGTGACTGGACATTGGGTGCCATTTGTAGGCAGATTTTTCTGTTCCTCCTACCAGCTCCCAAATGACTTCTTACTAATTATCAAAGATCAGCTGATAGCTTAGGCTTGTTACTAACTAGTTCTTACAACTTAAACTCACCCATTTTTTTTTATTAATCTATATTCTACCATGTGGTTTTCTTTCTACCCCATTTTGTGTGTCTGACTTGTTCTGCATAAGTCTGGCTTCTCCACCTTTCTTCTTCTTCCCATCATTCTCTCTTCCCCCAAAATCCTGCCTAGCTATTGGCTGTTTAGCTTTTCATTAAGCCAATCACATGACCCATCTTCACATGGTGTAAAGGAATATTCTACAGCAGAGGAAGAGTGTGAGTTAACACTACATTCTAGGTACGTCCTACCTATTCACCGGCTGTCTCCCTACATTCCAGGTGACAGCATCAGGAGGGGAGGCCTTTGGGGGATAACTAGGTTGTGACAGAAAGCACTTACTTATTGGACAGGATAAACGACCTCATAAAAGAGGATCCTGGGAGCTGCTTCATGTGAGAAGGAACAGCAAGCTTTGGTGCCATCTTTGAAGCAGGAAGCAAGCTCTTCCAGATGAGAAATTGGCTGACACCTTCATCTTACTTAGAAGTCATAGTCTGTGATGCTTTATTGTAGCAACCCAAGCAGACCAAGACTCCCAGCATGTACAAAACGTCACGCATATACAACAGTAGAACACACTCAGAACTACTACAGTCTGGTAGCTAGTCGTGATGCAGGTCGGTGCTGGGCATCTGGAGTTCCCTTCTTTGAACGCCCATCCATGTTTCACCTACCTTGACTAGAACCTTGGCTTCCTGGAATTCTTCTCTTGCTGGCACAGCCCGGGGCTTCATTTCTGGGAGAACTGAAGCCCCACTCGTCCTGTCCCAATGAGCTGCTATAGTTTCTGATTAACCTTCACTATGTGGCCTGGAAGTACTGCTGGGTACCTCAGGGGACCCCCTGGTTTTGAAAACTAATTCTCTTTGTTTGAATGTGACAGACAGACTGGAATATAGTTCCCTGTAGTGCCCGTCTCCAACTGCTCATGCTTTTCTTTGAGTAGGGATGGGACCTGTAGTTGGCAAAGGTAAATGGTACACATGATGACAGTTTGTCCTGTAGGACTCTGTCTTGTGAGCAGACATGCTTTAGGGACACGCCTTATCAACAGTTTGGGAAAGCTGGGGTGGCCAGGAATCATGGAACTTTCCAGAAGCCTCCAGTTGCTGGAAGCAGCCACCAGCTGGCAAGAAATCAGCAAGGCCCCAGTCCCACAGCTACAGGAAGTGGAATCAGCCAACACCTTGAATGTGATTGGAAGAGCCTGCATTGTCAAGCCTGCAGTCTCCAAGACACAATGCCATCTCATCACCAGGGACAAATGTATCAGTTCCTAAGCAACGACCTCCTGACCCAAAGAAACCAAACATAACTGTGCTCCCTCCAATTATTATTATTCTATGTGTGCAATGGGAGTAGGCACATGTACCACAGTGTACATGTGGTCAGGGGACAATTGTATGGAGTGGGCTTTGTCTCCCCACCTTTACAGAGGTTCCAGGGATCAAATTCAGGTTGTACAGAAAGACTTTTACACACTGAACCACTTCACCAATGCCTGGAGTTTGTTTTTCTGAAAATGCTACATAGTTTAGATACCTCCGGTTCTGTGATACAATGACACATTTTTGTTTGTTTTTGAAACAGAGTCTCTTTACATAGCCCTGGCTCACTATATACACCAGCCTGGCCTCCAACACTCAAAGATCCACCTGCCTCTGCCTCTGGAGAGCTGGGATTAAAGGCGTGTGCTACGCTACCACAGGCTGGATAATTACACAAAAGAGAGTGATTGCCAAACCTTGTCAAGACAAGGTGGGACAGTCCTTCAAAAATCCTGCTTCATAGAAAAGTCTATGGAATATTCTAGGCCTGTAGGCTGAAGATAGGTGCCCCAGTGTTGCAGGGGAACCTTGGGTGACTGTCCAGGCAGCCAGCTGTTTCTGTGATTTCTCACATTTTTTGGAAGTCGCTTGCTTGCTTCCTGCTTGGGTCTCTGATAGAGTTGAAGGCTTTATAGTTACAGTTTTCCTTGTTACCAGATACAGAAAAGAAATTCACTTAAGAGGTGTAAATGTATAAGGTTGAGAGACATTAAAAGATAGTTTGGTAATGCAAATTAGAATAGAAAGTGAATTAGGTACAACCTTTTGAACTCATCAAGACAGGACCGATTTGGAGTATTTTCTCTGAATTTGTCAATTGCCAATGGAATAGACATTGTTGTTGTATTTATTACCTGTATACATTGTATATAGTTATTGTACTTATTGTACATAGTTTTCTTATATTAGTTATAACCTTTTATGTTGTTGTTGTTTTGTTTTATTTTTTGATTTTTCAAGACAGGGTTTCTCTGTGGTTTTGGAGGCTGTCCTGGAACTAGGTCTTGTAGACCAGGCTGACCTCAAGCTCACAGAGCTCCGCCTGCCTCTGCCTCTGGAGTGCTGGGATTAAAGGCATGCACCACCACTGCCCAGCTCTTCTTTTTTTATTTTAGACCAAAAAAGGGGAAACATGGTGATAATTTATGATCTAACAAAGTTTGTCTAAAGATCAGAGTGCAGACCTAGCCTCTAATTAGCCATAGAGGCTAGGCAGTGGTGGCACACACCTTTAATCCCAGCACTCAGGAGACAGAGGTAGACAGATGTCTGAGTTCAAGACTACCCTGGACTACACAAGATTTATTGTCTAAAAAAGAAACAGAGCTCACACAAAGGTGTGAGCCTTTAATCCTAGCCCTAGAGAGGTAGAGACAGGAGTCATATGGCTGGACAGAGGGAGAACTATAAATTGGGAGGAGACAGGAGCTCAGGGCAGTTTGAAGATTTGTAGAGAGCAAGGCAGTCTGAGCGGTCAGTCTGAGGATGCAGTCTGAGGACAGGATGGCCACTTAGGTCTGAGCTTTAGGAGAGGTGAGAACTCTAGTGGCTGGCCGCTCTGCTCCTCTGATCTTCCAGCTTTCACCCCCTGATAGCTGACTCCGAGTTTTTATTATTAAGACCAATTAGAACTCGTGCAACAGAGTACCACATAAACTAGTGCTGAAAGCAAATCAGAATTTTAGGGACACCAGGAATGGTGACCCTCCCCTTTAATCCCAGCACTCGGAAGGAAAAGACAGGCGGATCTCTGTGAGATTGAGGCCAGCCTGGTCTACAGAGTGAGTGCCAGGACAGCCAAGGCGGTTACACAAAGAAACTCTGTCTCAAAACAAACAAACAAAAAACCAGAATTGAAACAGCAGCCAGAAAATTCAATATGTGGCTGTTTGAAGCATTCAGCATTCAGTTCTGTTGTCGCAGTGACACTGATATTAAATTACTCATTAAACATGTATTTAGGAAGTTGGAGAGATGGCTCAGAGGTGAAGAGCACTGTCTACTCATCTAGAGGTCCAGAGTACAGTTCCCAGCAACCACATGGTGGCTCCCAACCATCTATAAAGAGAGCTGGTGCCCTCTTCTGGTGTGTACATACATAATAAACACAGAAATCTTAGAAAAAAAGCCCTTGATTTCAAAAAAACGTATTTATTTTGCAGCACTGGGGATCAAACCCCTGATGTCTTTCATGCCAAGTCACACTTTACAACCAAGCTGTATCTCTGGCCTCAGTCATACCATTAAAAAGACAAGAAAGCTGAGAACAGAAAGGGTCAGCCATTTGCTTAAGAAAAAATAAGTAGACATTCTTTCCTAGACTTTCTCGTGGATAAATACAGGTTGAACCACATTGGAGCATGAAACAAAAGGGCAAATATGTGCCTCATACACTCTTATGCAAATATCCTCCCAGATCCTGAAGTGAGTGGAAAAAGTGGATAAAAGCTCTGCAACCAAAAATAATAAAAAGCAGAGTTGCCCAATGTCTCTGAATGCTTCCATCCGTCCTCATGAAGTCACTGGCAGTGACAGCCTGGCCGGGAACTGAAGGCTTCTGGGAAATGAGTGGCTGTTACAAAATAAAAACAAATCCCGTCTTTAAATTTTCAAATTGTGTTATCTCCGATTGTTGGCATCTGTTTTAAGTGCTGAGTTTTTGGTACTCTGTTAAATTTGCAACCCAGAAAATTTCTTCATTCATCTCAATTTTTATTAAATTTCATTGATTATTTTTGTACTGTGTATATGTGTGTGTATTTCTCCATGCCAAAGCCAATGTCAAGGCTGTGTATGAAAGTCAGATGACAACTTGCAGGAGTCAGTTTTCTCCTTCCATCATGTTGGTTCTGGGGGTCAAACTGGAGCTCTCAAGCTTGGTGGCAAGTGCCTTTACCCACTGAGCCATCTCACCAGCCCCATTCCTACCATCTTAACTTGGGCCCTGGATGAAACCAAGTCCTTGCCTGAATGACACTAGGGGCATTCCTCAGTAACAACCTCCTCTAAACAGAACCCATAAAGCTATGGTATGGCAGCCACATCTGTAATCCCAGCACCCAGGAGGCTGAAACAAGAGAATCTGGAATTTGAGGCCTGAATGAGCTACAAAAAGAGACTGTGACTCAAAACAAACAAAGAGACAGGGCCTTTTTTTGTTGTAGCTACCATTTCCTGTCCCATTCTGTGAGTCCCCATTTCTGGTGAGGTTTCTCATGACCCACATGACGAGGAGAGTCCCCTGTCTTCTCATCAGAAATACTGAATCATAAATCTGTGGCAATGGAAAGGGTTCCATTGTGAGGCGAGCACCAGTACAAGCCTGCAAAACTGTTTGGAGAGGAGCCGACACTCTCCACCCAGCCTTAGTCACATCTGACCCAGAAGCCACAAGTTCCCGATTCCTGCAGTATGTACCCATTTGAGCTAGTGGCATCAGAATTCCCAGGTCCTTTAGCCATGGATGTGCTGAGAGTCTGGCTTTCCGAGAGCGTAAGAGTGGGTGAGAGTAGTCCCTGCATCCGAAGGCCAGCCTTCTGGTTTAAGAGCCTGCAGTGCCCTCCTCAGCCACATAGTTGGCTGAGACTTGGAAGCAGCACTTTGAGTGGAATGAACATTGCTAATTTCTTTTGTGTGGTTTTGCTCTTGAGTCTCTATCTCTTTTACATCTGTATCTCTCTTCATTTCCCCAGGACTTCAAGGAAAGCAGAGAAGTTACCCTTAAAAACATTCTTTTGTTGCTTTAGTGCAGAGGGACAAGGAGGAGCTATAGCCTGGGATGAGGAAGAACAGAAACCCAAGTTTCCCTTTTCCTTACCAAAAAAGATCCCACAAATCCCAGTAAGAGCTGCCCTCTTGGAACATTTTTTTCAAGGTTGCTTTTGCTCGTTTTTTATCGTATGAGTGTTTTGCTTGGGTGTATGTGTACCAGGTGTGCACCGGGTTTGTGCTTGGTACCCTCAGAGTCACAGAAGGGCACCAGATCCTCTGGAACTGGAGTGGCAGATGGTTGTGAGATGCCATGTGGGTGCTGGGACTTGAACCCTGATCCTCTGCAAAAGCAGCCAGAGCTCTTAACCACTGGGCCATATCTCCAGCCTCCTTCAACTCCTCCCCACCTAAAACTTTTACAGAAGAGAAATGTAACTTAGAATGTCAGCTTTGAAGTGAGAAAAGTCAGGAAAATTTGCTGCCTATACTTGCTGTCTAGGCATCCCTCCTGATATTTCTGGACAGGAACGCAAACAATCCCTCAATGAAGGGGTTTCTCCAAAGCCTAAAGGAGGGAGCTGGGCCGGGTGGCACAAGCCTATTGTCCCAGCACTAAGTGGCTGAGTCAGGAGGACTGAAGTTCCAGGTCAGCCTGAACTACAGAGTAAAACCCTATCTTGGAACAACAAACAGAAGGACAAATAAGAGCTGGGCACATAGTATCTCAGAGGTAGAGTACTTGCTTAGTGCTTATGGGCCAGATGTCCAGCAGTGAAGAGGGGAAAAAAGAGCCTCATTTGTCCCCAGCAATCATTTTTGCCCTTTCCAACCCAACTCTCAAGATGCAATTGGTGAGACCTTCTAATACTGCAAATTTAACACCAGGGGAAAATGAGCCAACACCGACTGAATTACAAGCACTCTATAAAGGCCACAGAATGCCTATTTATAAGTACAGATCATGATATTTCCCTGTTTATGGATCCTCCAAGTGGCAAACAAAAGCTTCATTGCCTGCCCACACCTTCCCACTGCTTCCCACAGTGATTACCTTACTATTTGGTTATTTGGTTGGGTTGGTTCTTTTTGAGACAAGAGTTTCTCTGTGTAGCCTTGGCTGTCCTGAAACTCACGCAGTAGACCAGGTTGGCCTCGAACTCACAGACATCTTCCTGCTTCTGCCCCGGAGTGCTAGGTATTAAAGGCATGCACCATCACCGCCAGGCTTCCTTGCTCTTTATAGGGAATCTCCAGGCCTTACTTCATCTTTCTGGAGAAAAGTTCTAGCATGGCTGCAGCAAACTTCCTTCCCTCTACCTTTATTCTTCCCAGATCCGTTCGTTGGTTTTTTTAATTAATTAATTTATTTATTATGTACACAGTGTCCTGTCTGCATGTACACCTGCATGAAAAAAGAGGGCACCAGATCTCATTACAGATGGTTGTGAGCCACCATGTGGTTGCTGGGAATTGAACTGAGGACCCCTGAAAGACCACCCCGTGCTCTTGACCTCTGAGCCATCTCTCCAGCCCCCAGATCCATTCTTACTCTTTCTAAAAACTTCAGTGCCTTCCTTTCACAGGTTATGTTCCTTCTCGTTGCTTCCAGGACCTCGCAAACACACCTCCTTACCCTCTTCCAGCTTCACATGACCATGATTGTAGTCACATTCTGAGTGGTGGTTCAATGTTAGCCTCCATTGCTACACTGTTAACTACTCCAAGGCAAGGGTTGCGGTTCTTTTACTGCCCATCAGGGAAACCGAACTGTGAAGAACTGGGAAGGGTCGCAGTGACAGATGTCAAAGAGTAAGGAACTTGAAAGTACTTCCTCCTTTAGGTAACAGGCCCAAACCTGCAGTCGCTACAAGATGTGAAAATCATTCTGAACTCAGGCCCAGGTGGGCTGGGAGGTGAGGTGAGTTTTAGGAGCAGCGGGTTATGAGGATCTTAATAGCAAAACTCAGCACCACGCGCGCAAA